GATCCTGCTTTAATCTCCCTTGGCTGCTTTCCTCAGATATCCAAGGGGCCTCCAGCCATTCATCTGGAGAGGATGCAAACTGCTCTTACTTCCTGTCTCCGAGCTTCTGCCGAAACAGACTGGCTTAGTCATATGCAAACAGTCCTCAGGAACGTTACAAAAAGCATCACACCAATTCTTGCAGCACATCCTTTGAAGCGTTGTGGGGAGTGGCTGGCTAAGGTCAGACCTCTTGCAGGCCAGGATCCAGGCCCCAGCAGGAGATCCCCAGAAGTCTTTGCTGCTGAGCCCCAAGCATGATGGCACACATTTTAGGATGCTTGCTGCTCCGGTTACCAGGCACTACAGGGTTTATCCTGTCCTGTAGGGGGTTCACAAGAGTGTGGAAGGGCTAGTCTGGACTGGGAGAACTTAAAATGTCTTCTGAGGCCAGGGTTTGGGGTAAGGAGAATCTCTGCAGAGAAACCACAGAGCGTGGGGAGATCCCACAGTTCTTAGCCCACCCATGGCCATGGAAACCACTGCAAAAGATTCTGCAGAGGAACAGCTATGGAAGGGAATGAATGGCCTTGGGGTTAAAGATCAGGAGACCTGGATTCTTTTTCCAGTTCAGCCACAGACTTCTTGTGTGACACTGGGTAAGTCACTGAGTCTCTCTATGCCTAAATTCCTCCATCACAATATTTCATTTCTCCTGCCCTCTGCCTATCTTCTCTATTTAGACTGTAAGCTCTATGGGGCAGGGACTATATGTATGTACAGCACCTAGCACAAAATGGGGCCTCTAAGGGTACGTCTACACTGAAACTAGGAGCAAGGGTCCCAGCTCAAGTAGACAGACTCATGCTAGCTCAGCTGGAGCTAGCACGCTAAAAGCCCACCCGACCTCCTGGGTCTGAACCTGGTGGCTAGCTTGTCTCCCCGCCGGAGCCATGATGTCCACACTGCTATTGTTAGCAATGCTAGCTCGAGCTAATCTAGTGTGAGTCCGTCTACCTGTGTTGGGAAGCTCGCTCCCTGCGGCAGAGTAGACATACCCTAAGCACTACTGTGATGTAAATTAAATAATGAGAGGATGAACATGGGTACACAGGAGAAAAAAAGATAAGAGTCCAATTTAAAGGCCAAAGTTTCTCAATCTCTGATTCTTTGGTCCTAAATAAGGACGACCAAGGGGGCATGTGAAGTGTGGAAGTTAGCTCTTCGCTTTCAGGGAGTGCAGCCAGAACAGTGTGAGAAAATTGTTCTGGAAGAGCCACCGCTCTCTCCCCACCAAAGACCTTATTCCTGCACCTAGCACAACTGAAAAGAGCTTGAACAAACTTTTGTGCACATCCTTCGAGGCCTCCGCTTGACACCGACCCATTCCCTCCCTCCAACGCCCCCATCTCTGACTACGTGCTTAGCAGACTGCGCACTCGGAAAACTCCACAGAGGCTGCCAAATTAGGACGTTCTAAACTCCAACAACCCCCCCACCCACACACCCACCCCTTTTTGTTATTGTCACTGCAGTAACAATTCAGCTCAGCACCAGGTGCTGGGTTCATTATTGTCCGTTCATGTTTCTAAAACCTAATCCGGGATGGAAAAATAGCACTCAGCAACCCTTCATTGTTACAACTTTATTTATAGTCATCATCTCTCGGGGGGAGAAACAAAGGCCCGTGCATCACAGATCAGCTGGGAGATATTAAATTGTTATTATTGGCCCCAAACCTTATTCAGGAAAGACACCAACTGAAAGCAAAGGGAGATCTGCCCAAGTACAGACTAAGAAGAGGCTGCAGGATCTGGCCCATTATTATTGTTTACTATGTACTGCCCCAGTACAAAGGATCCCTGCACCAGGGGCTTCCAGTGTAAAGGCTCCATTCATACAGGGTGATGCTCGGGCAAGTAATTGCACCGGGAGGTGCATGGGGAGAAATTTATTGCAGACCTTTGCTGGGTAACCCTTACTTTTCCCTTCAAACCAGCTCAGTTCCGATGGATGGCACTTTCGGAGCAGAGCCAGGGCATACTCATCTCCAGCTGCTCCCTATACCTCTGCTTGATGGAGCAAGCAGCGGGCAGACAACTCCTACTCTTCTCCTTGTATCCAAGCCATGATGTACGGTGCACTAAGATGGCCACAGGAAGGATCTTCTCTCCTTTACCCTTTTATTTTCATGCATGGCTGGGTCATAATCTGGCCCTAACTCAGATGCACACAATACAATATAACAGATACACGGTACGAAGGGAAATGCCGTTTGCTAGTAGACTTGTTCATCACACCTCTACTGGCTGAGCATAAAGCCTGTCTGTGAATCAGGCACCTTGAATCAGGGCACTCCAACACTACAGTGATAAGGCAGTATAAGAACCTGCATAGCACAGCACAGCCATCAGAAGAGTTGCGTCACTTTTTTATAGTTAAAAAAAGGAGCATTGAATGAAAAAGTTTCGCTCTCATTTAACTGTACCAAGTGAAAGCTATACACACATAAGGTGCCTGGCAAAATGCATGAAAGCCACGTGGCACTCGATAAAACATTGATTGTAATTGCACAAAGAGAGCCTGTTTTTTCAGTCTCTTAACTCTGCTCCAAGTCTGAGTAGCTTCTTATTTTTACAAAGCACTGACCATAATGGACATACTTTCACTTAATCTGAAGGTCATGTGCACTATCAGAGAAGCTGCTATTTTTCAGTGGATAGAAACGAAACACTAAACTAATAGGCTACAAGATATCTGCCCAGTCAGTAAAATATCTGTCATTTAGCCCCAGACACTTATTTAGTGCTGGAAAATCTCAGCCCTTCTACAATTCCAGTTTGGGAGCAATTAATAAATTAAAGCAAATCAGGAGTAGTGTATACCTGGAGAAATTAAAAAGGGGAGGAGTTCACCTTCCTGACTACGACTATCAGGACTGACCACGACTCCTTACTCCTGTATAAAAACTCCCAGAGCAGAAATATGATCACATACTAATTGATTCTAGCCTCCTCACTGATCTTATCTAAAATAGGAGATAGATAATGGAATTGCTTTTCCTTGTTCTGCTCTCTGTGCACATTGCCAAGACAGCAACAGAAGGTAAGAAGACCATACTGTTCTGCCCACCCCTGGGTATCAAGGTTACTCATATTTGATTATTTGAATTTTGAATACCACTGTATTCTGTTCAAACTCTTTAATGCTTCTATATGATACATCCGAGGTATGTATTTGTTTGTTTCTCTCTCAGGTCATTTATGGCTTGGTATCACAAGTGGATTTATTCTGACTGTTTTGTTTTATTTTACCTTTATGGTTATAGTATTTTTTCACCCCAAGAAAATCCAACAGGTTTTACTTTACCTCTATATGTAATTAGAAATTCTGAAGATTCAGTAAAAATGTATTTTCTTTGCCTGTGTACTATGCTGATTTAAATGGCATACAACTATAAGTAGCCTAATTATTCTATTTTTCTTCTAATAATGCTATGGTCTCTTTATAATGTAAGAAATGAAAGGATTCAGGTTCTCTCTCTTTGTCTTATGCTATTTTAGCCTGATAGAGCAATATATTTGTTTAAAAATTAACCGACATTTATAGTTTTTTTTTAAATGTATTTAATTAAATTTTACTATCCACTGATGATGACTGTTAATACCAGATAATGATCTATAATCAGCACTTCAAAAAATTCAGATGGCTTTTGTATGCTTATATTGGATCAGGAATGCAGTACTATTCAATAATATCCTTTCCCATGTAAATATCAAAGTTAAAAATAAACACAACAGTCCTTAGGTAGTGAGGAAGGCTCAGAGTTTTTGTCCTAAAAAGGAGTAGGCTGCATCATTAAGAAAAAAGATTCAATATTATCGGATGCATCTAACGTATTGCTGCACTGTGACAGAGTTTGTTAAAGGGATACAGATTTCAACAAGATAACCCAGCTCAAGAGCCACTGGCAAGAGTAGTTGAAAGCAGCAAATGTTGAATGTGACGAGGACAGTGTTAAAACCTGAATAGAACGCTACTGAAATGGAGGGGTTTTAACCCCAATGAGGGTTTTTTTTAATTCTCCAAATCAACAATGCAGTAATTTACCTTTTCCACATCCATCCTTTGAGAATGACATTGCAGTACAGTTGCAGCTGCTTAATCTGACTGGTGTGGATCTTCTGTCACTTAAGGCTTCCAATAACAACCTTCCTATAAACCTCCCCATCCACATCTAGTACAGATGCACACACACAACAAACCTCTGCTTTTCAAAGTATTCAGCAACTAATATATCTCCCACTTGGTTCAAAGTCCACAGCTACTAACACACATCTCTCTGACTACACTCTTGTTGGGCTGTTTTTATAAAAGGTTTGTGCTTTTAAATAAGAGAGACAATCTATAATAGTTTGCTGTATTCACAAGACAGAGCTTAAGTTACTAATCAGCACTTCTGTTTATACTTTTAGAGGGTCTCCCTAAACATGAGTGATCAGAGCTGGACTAATAGCAGGTTTGATGGGGCCACAGCTTGGGGACCCCAAGTTGTAGGAAGCCTTGACCTTTGGTAATAGAGTAATAATAACAACACCAACACCAAGCTCTTTTCATGCATATATCTTAAAGTGCTTTACAAAGTAGGTACATTAAGTATTATTATCCCCATTTTATCAATGGGGAAACTGAGGCACAGAGCTGAAGCAACTTTCCCTAGGTCAACCAGAAGCCAGGAGCAGATCCAAGAATAAAACCCAGCAGTCCTAACTCTACGGCAAACATCCTACCCCGGCCCATGTTGTCTCTCAGTATGGTAGCATCTCATGAAACATCAGAAATAATTTAATCATGTTAATCGGCTCCTACATATCTATCATTATTCCATCATCAACAGCAGCATAATGTGCCCCCAAAGCATCCCATCTCAGTGCCTCCGGGGGATCACTGGTAGGGACAAGACTGAACAGCACAGATCTGTGAGAGATCTGGGCAGCTCCAACAGAGACATTCAAAACCTTTTGAGAGAGGATTGTTTAAAACCATCTGTAGTACCATCACCATTATGGTCCAGATGTTATGTAACAGGGATACAACAACTGCCAAAGTGGGGATAGGGAAATAATTTCTGCCCACGGCATATTAGCAGGGTCCTTGGAGTATCTTCACATTCCCCTTGAGCACTGAACAGGAATCAACCATTTACAGATTTACCACCCCACACTATTAGTTTCTGGAATTTCAAAGGATATACATATGGCAGACCTTGTTCCTCTCATTTTCTATACTTATATCTTATGTATTTTTGATTCTCATGGAGGTAAAACTTTGCAACCTACACTGGCACTGATGGGGTCTGCATAAACTTCTAGCCTTGTGTCTCTCTGGGGCCATGCAAAGGCAAAGTATGTGCTGTTTATAGCAATGCAATGCAGAGTTGCAAGGAGAAAAAAATAAAACAGAACAGAACAAATGAAGGCAGAAGAATTCTTTAACTTTTTCCATTTCCACTTACCGTGGCAAGAACTCTTTACAGACACATATTAATATTTCAGACCCAGCTCAGAGATGGCAGAACCATGATACTGTCACCTTAAGATTTAATCTAAAACTAAGAAGAGTGAGAGTTACATGAAAAGAACACACAGACAGGGTAGCGATGGAGAGCCAGGGAGGAAAGAAATCGCGGATAGCCCTCCCTGCCTATCCTCCCATCCAACACACGATTAAATATCACTAACAAGTTATCAAAAACACGATCTTCTCCCAGTAGTTACCTTGGCCATTACAACACAGGCAGACTTATATCCTTAAGCAGGATACGTTCTTTGGTGTTTCCTTTTCTTTCTTCCTTGTAAGCATGCAGCAAGTGGCTGCTAGCACACTTGCAAAGCCTTATCTGAGTTGGTCTGTGACCGTTCATACATACCTACAGCTTGACTAACTCTTACTCAAGAGACCCATTGTAAGCATGAAGGAAGGAAAGCCCACGTTCTGCAGGTTACTGAGCATGTATCAAAAACCAGAGATCCTCAGCCCAATATTTTACTGTCCTCAATATTCTTCTCATGGCCCTGTAAGCCTGAAACCCAGGCTTCAGTCATCATGGGAAGCGATAGCTCCACGATCTATGCAGTGACCATGAGAATATTTAACATTTATATAGTGCTTCACAGCATCAAAGTGCTGTAAAAATATTAACACATCATACCTCTCATTAAACATCAATCCTGCAACTAATCATTAACTAATAGGTGCGGTTATTAAGGGAGTAATAACTGAGCTTTGGACAAGCCTGCAGAATAGGCAGCAGCGTACCCCACTTGGGATGGAGGATTTGGTCCACAACTGAGGGCTTCTGTGAGCAAGAGAAAGGCGTGGATGGACTGCATGGCAAAAAGATAGAAGAGGGATATGAGGGGAGGAATATAGGGGAATTTAGGACATATTTGTTCATCTCTTTAGGATTATGGTAAGGTTGGAGGCTATGGAAGTGCAGCAACTTCAATCTAATTCACTCCTTAATATACTAAAAGTCCAACGAAAGATAAAGCAAAGCAGCCCAGGCATTATACTGTTTCATACTGTGGAGACAGAGACCTAGACCCTTTGTTCTTACTTAGTCGCTTCCATATTTATGAGATAACCTAACTGTGGCAGCCAACCAGACAACACTGTGCACTACCTGGTGTATCTGAAGTTGTCCCCATTTGCAGCCATTACCAGGCGTACCATGTTTTCAGGCATACTATGGCCTTTTAAGTGAATATACTTTCAGGGTACTGAATTAAAATTTAACAGGCTACGGCTAGGTTGCATGGTTAGAAGCCCCAATTGCTCTTTAATTAAGGAGTGTTTTGTGTGTTCTTACTGGCAGCATGGCAGGAAGCCTCTTCAGAGGTGTCTGAAAGGGTATTATAGCCATGTATGAAACAAACCTTCAACTGTTTTAATCCTTTACAAGCCACACCCCTCTAGCCAGACAGACATGGCTTCCTTACATATGGCAGAGAAGGAAGAAAACGTAGCTTCTGATAAGTCCACTGTATATCCCTCTTTGGCAGTCGTCTTGTAAAAGGATTTCAAAGCACAATCTTCCAGATACCCCAGTCCCCATCCAACTTCAGGGGTGAATTCAGAGCCTGGTTCTGCAAAGCCTCCTGCAAGCCCCATTGTTTAAGGGGTTATCTACACATGGAGTTATTCGTGAACAACTCCATGTGCAGATGCTCTTATTCTGGAATAGAGTGCCTTGTTCCTGTTTATCTTATTAATCAATTAATTAAGCTAAACAGGAATAAGGCACTCTGATTCCAGAAAGAATATTCACACATGGAGTTATTCTGGAATAGCTATGGTGCTTTAAATTCACACTGCACCTTAATCTGAATTAATTTTCAACTGTAAACAAACACTTAAAAGATTACACAGGATCAGTTCCTTAGCCTCCCTCACAGTATGAAACAAGTTCCGCCACACACCAGCAGCTCCGGAACATTCATGTCTTTTTAACCACTCAACAAATATTGCTGATAGTGCAACAATGGATGCCTGACCCCCACAGTCAATGGACCAATACAAATCCTCCCTTGCTGGATATATGCTTTACCTCCTAAGCCAATAAAGGGGTTAAGGATCGCAAGAGAATGCATTCTTTGCTGTGCCAATGCAACCAAGGGCATCACAGTTTAAAGTTCGCAGATTATTTTTCACTGCTTTGCAGTTTGTCTCTGGTAATATTTAATGACTGGTCAGGATTTCTTCTTGTACAAAGCGGAGTCAACATCATTAATAATACTAATTTTTAAGGCTCAGCCTTCGTGTTGTCAGTACATTGCACTGTCAGCATTTTGTATTAACTCACCCTCTTTAGCTCCCTCTCAAGTAGAAGTGTAGCTGCAGCACATTACATGCTTCTCCAGCATCCACAATGGGGTGTCTCCCCAGTGCTCTGCAATCCAGTACACTCATCCTGCAGGAGGAAAGGGAACATCAGATTAGCCATTCAGGGGGGAAATGACATTTCCCATCGTTTTCACTTCAAAGTTTATTCCCCCCAAAAGCACCTTCTGCTACAGCTAAGGGTGCCAATGCCAAGAACCAAT